TGAGTGAAAAAGGGTATATGTGTGCTCAAACTATATTCTTAAAGTGGTTAGGGAAAATGTTAGGATTCTACCAGTCACTGAGTCATGAGTGAAAAGAAAACTCTTTCTCCCTCTTTGGAGCCTTATCTGACTCAACCTAATCCTGGCTGTGCCATTTTCTGGCAGGGCAGGGGAAGTGAACTCGGTAACTAGGGAACCTGTGTCACAGCTAGATGTACCTGGTATGCAAAAGCCCTTTAGTTCTGAGTTAACTGTTAAAGGAGATCTGGAGCTAGGGGGCTGGAGAGATGACTCAGCGGTTAAGAGCACTGGGTTGCTCTTCCAGAGGACCTGAGTTCAATTCACAGCAACCACAATGTGGCTCCCAACCATCTATAGTGGAATCTGATGGCCCCTTCTGGCATGAAGGCATACATGCAGAACACTCATAAATAAAATATAAAAAAAAAAATAAAATAAAATAAAAAAGGAGATCTGGAACTAAGATAGCACTTAAGGAAGGTTAAGCTTAATTAGCACATCCACCAGGCCTTCTCTAATGAATAGTCTGGATGCTATCTACCTGCGGTCTGTTTTTAGACAGTCTGGGAAGTATCTCAGATAAGATACTTTTCCTCTGGAGAAGATCCTGGCTGGATTGCTGCTAATGATGAAAACTACAGAAGGCCTGAAGTGAGGGGTCTAGCTGTGTGACCGCTGTTAGCAGTTGGGAGATGTTATCCAAATACTGTAATCGTATAGGGGAAATTGTGCCCAATGGATGATCAAACACACTGTTCTAGGAATGGAAAAGCTACAATAGCACACGAGAAATTTGTTGCAGGAAACGGCTAATATTCAAAAGCCAATATCACCAAGACTCCTTAAGCCTTGGCTTTACCTCTGGAAAGGCCCTTGGCTTCTTCCAGGTATAGCTTGTTATAGTCAGCTGAATTCCTACTTCATATGTCTACAGCCCGCAGCACATATGAACCCTTGGGAGACACTTTAACCACAGCACCCACATATGCAAGTTCCTGCCCAATATGAACCCCCTTGAAGCAAAACTGTAGAATATACAGCATTAAATTACTTATGTGAGTTAAAACCAGAGAAGTTACCAGTTGATCATTCCTTTAGCAGATCTTATACTCTACACAGACTTCCACCCTTGTCCAGCCCAGCCCAGCCCAGCCCAGCCCAGCCCAGCTTCCTCCATTATGTCACACCAGACCCCCAAGTTCTCAGGAAGCATCAGGCCCAAAGAAGGGCCTAGAGGTGCCGAGGCCGAGCCTGCCCTGGGAGGGCCTAAGCCCGCAAGAACTGTCAAAATGTTCCGAGGGAATCATGAGCCTCTCGCAAGGTGTCAGACTCTGTTCTCACTGATTGAAGTCCTTTCAAGTCTAGATGAAGCCCTAACCATGTCCAGAGGTGGGGGTGTGGGCCAGGAAGGTTACATGGGACCCCCCCCCAATAGAAATGTGATTTTTTTTAAAGAGACAGGCCCTTACTCTGTAGCCCAGGCGAGGCTTGAACTCAGCGGGATCCTCTTGCTTTGCTGGAATTCGGGGTGAGCCAGCACTCAGCGGGAACTGTCCTCACAGGAAGAGACACCAGAGGTCTCTCTCCACCTCCACGTGTCTGTCCGCCTGCACTGCCATCTCAGCCTTCTATCCTTACAACAGCTCACTGCCAGCAACTTGGCTGCTTGAAGTGCCGGGTCCATGGTCAACCAGGGCAGCCAGGCTGACTCTCAGGCACTGTGAATGCGGTCCTGGCTGGAGACGAGAGGGAAAGGGCAAGAGCAGGCGACCTGCTGAGGGAAGGACAGGAGGGAAGTGTGGCCTTCAGTTTTACACTGAAAAAACATCCACAAGGCAGCAGTGTGCCACTGTCACTACAGGGCTGGCACGTGGGTTTTGTCACCATATAGGAACATTTGAAATTGTTCATTAAAAACTGCTACCGGCAACTAGAAACCACCTCCATAGAAACAGAGCGTCACGGATGCTGCATGGCTGCAAGAGCATCTGGAAATAAATCACAACTGTTTCAAGTCCATTCTAAAAGCATCTTGGAGTTACTTCTTGTGAGTGAATCTCAGGCGGTTTTAGATGACTTTATCTTTTAAAGACCCAACAGTCCTATTTATTTCAAGGATCACTGTGTCTGGGGCTCAAATGTAGGTTTCATAACAAAGTCATGCTTCAAACAAACAGAAAATGTGGAGAATGCTCTCGATGTCATGTCTAAATGGGAAAAGGAAAACCTGAGACAAACAGGCCCACAGGACTGATTGACACTGAAGAGGTTAACTTTATTTGCAGACTCACACCAGGCCCTTTCCATGACACCGGCTGCCCCAGAGCTACTTTAAGGACAGACACCTCAAGCAGAGCAACACACAGGGGCAAAGCAAAGGCAGAATGGTCGTGGTGCTGCGTGCTTGAGGGGCATCTACGGCCAGCACGGGTGACAAGTGACAGAGACCCCATCGAAAAGCACAGCTGGGGCAAGGCAACATTTTTAAAAAGTCATTTTCCATCCTGAACGGTGAAGACAGTTCTTTGTACAGACCCAACGGTGCTTCAAGCCAGCTGCTCAATGCCTGGCTGCTACTCTCCTGCACTCATAAATGTTTATGACCACGATGGGAAACTCCATCGCGCTGAAGAACCCAAGGCACACTACAGCAATAGCATTAATGACAAAGGTTGTTGTTATCCCAGCAGGCCATGTGCCCTGTGGTAAATCCTGGGGCTTAAGTCTTGGCCCAACTTGAGTGAATTTAGGAGTTAGCAGACACAGCCCATCTTCTTACCATGAGACAGGACCTGCCCATCTCACCAAACGGTTCTCGTGTGGATAGAGTAAGGCATACAAAAGGCTCACTGGCTTCACACAAGGAAGGCACTAGCTAGCAATGGCCTTCATGTTATCACTGAATGTAGAGATCTGATCCCCTCTCCAAGTGACTTATAACTGAAGTAGAAAACAGAAGGAAGCCAAAGGCAGGAGCACCTGTGCATGTATATCCCTACTTGGGAAGGTTGGGGCAGGAGGGCCACAAGGTCAAGATTAGCTTGGGCTACATAGCAAGACCCGGTCTCAGAAAAACAAGAACAGGGTTTAAAAATGAAGTGGTAGGATTTTATAGGATCAAGAGCAGGAAGAAGGTCCAGACGGAAGGGCAGGGGACACGGCTGTGTTCCTGGGACAGCTGGGGACATGAGCAGAAGGCTGAGGACACAGGGGCTGGATGAGGATGGAGGTTATGGGCTTCCGTTTTAGAGACCTTGTCCTTCCCATCACAGGATCTCAGGTTATGCTGAAGTGACCTGACTATGAGCACACTCTCTCAGTCACTCCCAGTGCCCGGAGCAGGCCACTGAACACAAGGTGGCAGTCTGGTCTAGGAAAAGGCTCAAGAGGTCGAGGCAGTTAGGCAAACAGCTCTAGACCAAAAACAAGGATACTGTTGGTGGGTACACCCTGAGACCCAGTTGTCATAGGTTGCTCTACAGGTCTAGCCCTGCTGTGACCTGATCATAGGCAAGTCCCTTCCTGGAATTTCAACCAGGAAGATAGAGTTCACAAAGTATTTTACCCATGGAAATCAATTAGAAAACAAAAATACTCTCAGCATTTGGGAAGCAGAGGCAGGAGGAGCAGGAACTCAAGATCATCTGGACTATACAGTGAGGCCAAGGTCAGTCCTTAATTAGGTAAGAACCTGTCTCAAAAACCAAATGAAACAAAAATTCCCCCCAAAAGAAAAAATAAAATCCAGAGCTCCAAAGATCAAGCCAAGGGTTCTATATTATGCCCTAGTCCATGTTTACCATGTTTACCCATGTTTACCATGTCCTCTTGAAGCATGGGTAGGTGCAGAGGCAGAAGTATGGATGGTGAAGATGTGGGGGAGAGCGGAGTAGAGACAAGGCAAATAATTAAAATTAAGAGAAAGAATACCATTGAGGATCCTCCTGAATATGGTCAGGAGAAGCAATAATGGCTGATAATGGCTGAGCTTGGCTGGGTGGCCAGGGAAGCCCAAGGCACCACTAACATTCCACACGAAAGGACAGAGATGATGGTGTGGTGCAGAGCGGGGCGGGTGGCCGGATGGAGGTGATGGTGTGATGCAGAGCGGGGCGGGTGGCAGGATGGAGATGATGGTGTGATGCAGAGTGGGGCGGGTGGCCGGATGGAGATGATGGTGTGATGCAGAGCAGGGCGGGTGGCTGGACGGAGATGATGGCATGATACAGAGCAGGGCGGGTGGCTGGACGGAGATGATGGCGTGATACAGAGCGGGGCGGGTGGCCTCACAGAGATGATGGTGTGATGCAGAGCAGGGCGGGTGGCCGGATGGAGATGATGGTGTGATGCAGAGCGGGGCGGGTGGCCACACAGAGGCTGAGTGTCTACAGGGGCTGCAGAGTTATAGACTGCTTAGCAAGTGTGATGCCCCGAGTCCCATTTCCAACAAGAGAGACAGAAGTGTTTGCCACAGAGTCTTGTCCCTCAGCAGCTACTTGATACACATAACCACCACGCCCAACAGACAGAAACGCCTCATCAGCAGTCAGGCCCCTCAGGGTCAGCTTGCTCTTCTGCCCAGAGCACGGCTTTGCTTGCTGTTCCTGAGGAATCCTGAGACTTGGCCTGGTGCGCACACGTGGGAGGGTACGACAACTTGCGCCTCTTTGTTGGGAACCGAGGGTCTCTCACGATAGTGCTAGTAGTCCACGCAGACATGTGTGCCTCAACTGGAATTGAGTCTTGTGGGCTTCTTATGCTCCAGCCAGGAGATGTTGACGATTTGGGGGAACTCTGGAATCCAGAGTCTGGATTTAATTTTCTTAAGTCCTCTGTCTGACTAGGAACAGCTGCACCAGCTTTCACTGGAGGTACTGGAACATGAGAGGTCACCTTCACCCGCTGAGGTGACATCAGGCAATACTTCTGATAAAGCTTGTCAAATTCTTTTTTAATCTCATCATAGCGATTCCCCCCACAACCCTGAGGGCCTATCCATGGTGCTGAAATTGCTCTACTGGGTGATACCGCCTTTCTGATGGGTCCAGAATTATGTCCTTGAAGAAAAAGGCCAGACATCTGTTGAGATTGGCCTGGGCTTTGTGAGGCACTGTCCTCTGACAGTGAAGGAGCGGGATCACTCCTTGGGAGACATCTACTGGCTTTGACAGACATTTCGCTCAGGTCTTCAAAAGCCTCACTTGACCTCTTTGCCTTTCCTCTGTTGAAAAGTAAACTCAGCCTGTGGGTTTTTACGCCCTGGGGGCTGCCTGGGCTTCTAGAACCACCTCTGTACACATCTACAGCCCAGGACTCTGTGGGGCCAGGCAGGTGAAGTTTTTTCCCAGAAGACAGGCAACATTCCTGATGAAGCTGCTCAAATTTCCTTCTAATCTCCCTGTAGCACTTCTCTGCTCGACTCGGAAGCATCCTGGGTCTGGGGAGCGCTTTAACAGGTGAGATTAGCCACTGCAAGGTCTTGAGTCTGTTTTCTCGCTCAAGGTAGTACATCGTGTTTAAGTCTAAACACTTCTGAGGTGTCCCCTGAAGCTCCTTCCAAGCTGGACTGAGTTTATGGACTTGGAGTTTGCTTCCTTCAAGAGATCCCCTTTTCAGTTTTAAGTCTCTCTTGTGGGGAGCAATGTGCAATACATTCTTGCAGTCTTTTAATATTCTGGCCTCTTTCCCTGGCTCTAAGCAGGGCCCCTTCTTGGAGCTCCTCTGGGAGGGCTTGCTCCTGTGGCAGAATGTCCTGTTCATGCGCACCCCACTCTTACGTGGGAGCCTCCTCTTGAGGTTCCGGGTCCGGTTGATGTAGGTCTTGGTGGAGATTATGCACGAAGGCTTTAAGCTCAGCAGCCTACTCATTGAATGCATCATGCCTTCGTATAAATCGCTGACTGTCACATTGCAAATGTCATCCTCAAGGGACTGGTTGCCTAAGCTGTTGCTGCTGGTGTCTAGTAAGGAGAAGCTGTCATTTCTAGGTATAATGGCCATGTCAGCAGGGCAAGGGTTTGAGGGACTCGAGTCTCTGGAGGACGAAGCTGACACTTCAGGCATGCCAAAGCTCTCTGCAGAGATACTATCCTGGCATCCTGGGAGAAAACCAGACAAAGTCAGGCTACACCAGGGCTCCACTCATCCGTACTTACAGAAGGCTGGGGAGGTCAAGATGGAATCACAATCATGATGGTTTAAAACAACACAGACAAAATAAAACCCCAGAAATGTTAAGGACAGACTCTTCTTGGGAGACTTTACTTTAGCAACTAAAACTAGATTTCGACTTTTCACCCTGCTTTGCAAAAGGAGTTTTCTACCCCTCACACTGTTTAGAGATTGCTGTCAGCTCAAAAGTCAATACAATACACATGGATAAAACACTTTACAAATAATTACAAAGGAAGTTCTACAAACATAAACATTCAATTAAAAAAAAATCCAACAAAGGAGACTGGAGAGATGACTTCGTGTTTAAGAGCACTTGCTGCTCTTCCGGAGGATCAGAGTTCGGTTCCCAGCACCCACACTGGGCAACAGACAAACGCCTATAACTCCAGCTCTGGGGGAATCTGATGCCCTTTTCTGGCCTCTGTGGTCTGTGGCAGCTGAACACATACACGCACACACGCAACAAAAGCCAGTATGTAACCCCAAACTCCTGACCTCTGCAAGTATGGCTGGGAAGACATGTTGCTGTGCATGGTGCAGCTTTGATTTCCTATTACATGACTATTTCATGGGTTTTGAAAACTAAAATCAAACCTATAGAAACAGGAAACGCCCAGCTGGAGCACTCAAGACAAGTGACCCCATGAAAAACAACCGTGATGGCAACTCAAGGGAATGTCAATGCTGTGGGTACCACCTGAGTGGGTCTATCGTGCAAAGGTCAGAAATGGCCACAAAGGACACTGTGGCTCAACTGGTAAAATTATATCACACCAAAGAGAAGTTTCCAGCACATTCTAAACTTTCTATAGTCATGGAGAGTCATCTGGTTCTTAGAAAGTACATGGAAGCATTTAGGGGTGCTATAAAAGTGAGCCAAATGAATATATACTGCTTGTGTTCCTACATGTGTGCCAGGGAGGGTCAGTGAAGGAACAATGATGGACGTTACCTGTGACACACGAGATGGCTGGCCACCGGTCACTCCTGTGCTGCTAGACTCTTAAGTATTCAAACCAAGGGCAAAGATCTATACAGCAACTGGTATCATGACCACAGAGGGAAAAGCAGTTTATGATGAAAATGTCCAGGATAGCCTGGGCTACAGTGAGGCTATACTGAAGTAGTCTCTATTGTTCTAGGACATGTACATTTCACTAACCGTTCATGATGCTGAGACACACACATACATTGAACACCCCAAGTCTCCCAATTCATGTAAAATTACTCCCTTATACTCACCAGGGGCTGGTGTGACAGGTGAGGAAGGAACCCAAGTCATGAGCGTGTCCTTTCCGCCTCTCTTCTCTGCGCTCTGAAACAAGAGCCAATGATCATAAGAGTTTTAGATGTTAAGACTTTGGGTTTATGGTACTGGGTTCTCCCTAAAAATACACTGTCCTTGTTTGATGTCAAAACAAGCAATACAGCCGGATGGTGGTGGCGCACACCTTTAACCCCAGCACTTGGGAGGCAGAGCCAGGCAAATCTCTGAGTTCGAGGCCAGCCTGGGCTACAGAGTGAGATCCAGGACAGGTACCAAACCTTGTCTCGGAAAAAACAAACAAACAAACAAACAAACAAACAAAAAACAAAACCAAGCATGCATTGTAACATGACAGTAGCTGGTGGTCAATCTTCAAACACAGAGGGAAGGGGTGGCCCAAAGCATCTGAGAACTCTGTCCACAAGGGCATAGCCAGTTTTCTGGCAGCTATTCCCTGCCCAGCCATCAGTGGCTCTTGTCTACCACTACACTTGTGTGCTGGTTTGAAAAGAAAACGGCCCCCAAAAGAAGTGACATTACCAGGGCTTTGAGGGTTCCCGTATCCTCAAGCCACGCCCAGTGAGACACTCTACTTCCTGTTGCCTGTATATCCACATGTAGCGATATCCTTTCTCCAGCACCATGCCTACCTGCATGCCACCATGCTCCCCATTATGATGACAATAGACCAAACTCCTGAAACTGTAAGCCGCTACCTCAATTAAATGTTTTCTTTGTAAGAGTTGCCGTGGTTACGGTGTCTCCTCACAGCAATAGAAACCTAACTAAGACAACTTGGGTTAGTCAGAATTTCCAGACCATGTATATGGTGGGCAGAGGTCAGATAAACTCAGGACTAATGCTAATCCTTTTCTTCTGATCACATGGCAGCCAGGAGGACGGCACCTGCCCTGCTGGTGACAGAGAATGCCTTCCGAGGACAGTGACTGAGGGACCCTCCAACAGGCTTCCGCTGGCCACCAGCACAGGAAGAAATATCGACTCCAGGGAACCTGCAGTTGTCGGGGGAGGCAGTGCTTGTAATTAACATCACTCCTTAGGCATCCGGCATCAGGGCATTAGGACATCTGTTTTATGAAAGATGCTGACAGAACTTGGGAAGCCAGAGGTGACATCTCCAACACCAGCTTTCCTAGTTAGCATTAGCTATTAACCTGACACAGCCTAGAATCACCCAAGTTAACAGTCTTTATCAGGCAGTTTGTGGGCATGTGCGTGAGGGACTGTCTTGATCGCTAACTGACGAAGCAGGGCCTGGCCCACTATGGGCGGCACCATCCCACGGCAGGTGGTCCTGGGCTGAGAAAGCACAGTAGTGAAGTACAGGGCACCCACCTGTGCTAGGAGAAAGGCCTGCAGCCTTCCCTGCCTCCTCCTCACTCACCCCAGACCAGGTCAGCAGGCTGGGAACAGGAGTGGACCTCACCAGGGAAGGGGCGGTTGCTACTTCCTCAACTGTGCAGCTAAGAGCTGGAGCTGCCCTTGGAGTCTGTGGCCCCTGGAGCTGAGCTGCCCCAGGGCAGTGGACAAGTCACCCTCCCACAGGACTCCGAGTTTCCCTGATGCTGCCCAGTAGGCCCCTGAGGTGTTCATTGAAGAAGAGAAAAAGTCTCACAGCATGTGTCAAGTGTGGAATCCCTTTCACAGGCTCCGAGGACAGAACATGGAATCCTGACCACTGCACCCCAACTTGTCTTTAATGTCTGGCCAACTCTTACCAACAGACACAGGTTACCTTAAAGTACTCTGCATCTTGAAGCAGAATATCCACCTGGCTCAAGTACTTCCTTCTTAAATCATTTTTCCAAGGGCTTCCAGGCACTGCAAGCTGATCAGGAAGAAAGTCAGAACACTCAGTCAGAAGGCCAGGTACCTCCAGACTCGTGAATTCTGGAACAATCTGAAAGCTCATGAAGGCTTGAGCATTTAAAGGAAGTTATTCAAAGGTACTCTTCCACATTCACTGGTACAAAGTGGTACGGCCTCTTAGAACTCCCAGACCCAGTGTGTGATTGCAGGGAATTTATCAGGGATTAGAGAGAGGAAAATGACCAAGAGCACACAAGCCTGAAGATGTCGATAACAGTGTTACTAGAAAGAAAGTGGGGAGGTTGGAGACGATCTGATCAGCCTGGCTCCAAATGAGAAGAGAGCCCTGGCTCTCCTGCTCTCCACACTGGAAGGGGTCACCTCCCTTCCTGACACCCAGTGCCACAAGGCCAGGAAAGCGCTCTAATGATTAAGCTCTGTGAGAGCTGCCACCTCCACCAACCAACCAGGGAGATGAGACTCAGAGGGTACAAGGAGGCAGGTCACTCACCCTGACCATACAGATTTTTAAACAATAACCTGGAAACACTTCCTCACGTTACTGCCTGAGGGCAAGGCTGGCTGGTAACCACACTGACATCTAGCGGTCCGTCAAGGATGATGGCATGGAGCAAACACCTTCCTGAGTTAAGTCTGCTCAGCCAACACGTAAGTAAGCAAAGCGCAGACCTCTGAGAAGGAAGAGCCTGGGTCTCTGGATCTGAAAGGTGACCAGAGCGGAAGGCAGCAGCAGCAGAGCCTTGGAGACATCTAGAAACGAGGTCTGTGCTCTGGGAGCTGCAGCCGTTCCGAGGCTGCCCACGGTCACTAGGAGCTTCTCTTACCGTCAAGGTGCACGCTGGCCGATCCTCCTCTTCTAGGCTTGTGTCTGCACTGCTGCTGTCTGAACCTAGAGGTAGGGAAGATTCCAGCGCATGCAGCATCTCAGAGCATGTACCCCACATCTCAAGGATCACCCGAGACAGGTCTACAGTGAAGACCCCTGTTGGCTTAAGAATGTTTCCCTGGGGTGGGGAAGGTGGCTTAGGGATTAAGAGTGTGGCAAGCACCTTTAATTCCAGCACTCAGGAGGCAGTGGCTGGCAGATCTCTGTGAGTTCAAGGCCAGCCTGGTCTACAGAGCAAGTTCCAGGATAGCCAAAGCTACACAAAACAAAACAAAACCAATCAATCAAACAAACAAAAAACCCAAAAAGCAAAAAGAATGCTTACAGCTCTTCCAGGGGACATGAGTTCAGTTCACAGCACTCATTGGTCAGCAGACAACTACCTGTAACCCTAGCTCCAGGGAAATCTGATGCCTCATACACATAATTTAAACAAAATAAATCTTAAAAAAAAGCATGTTCCTCTTGTACTCATGATCGCCAGTCATCCAGAGCCTCTGTGCAAGAAGACACCAACTCAGTAATAGGAGCAGCAGATTCTCCATTCAGTCACCTTCGGTCTGAAACACTCTGACGCTCGCCCAGCAGAGCCAACTCCAGGGACAACGGGAGTCTCCACCTGTTGCCCAATAGTCAGGGGCTGGGCCACTGGACAGTGAAATGTGGCTAGTCAGGCTGAGGGACAGAGCTTTTAACTTACAATTAATTCACTGAAACGTCCGCAGGGTGCTCATGGCCCCAACACCCAAGGAACCATTTTGAGTAGCTTCAAGTAGTGGGGGAGGCTGCAGAATTAAGTGTTTGTGGGGTTAGGATCTGGATTAGGAACCCCAGCAAGCGGCATTACCACCTTCTCCCTGCTTTCACTTGGAAAAAAAGTCTGCCACCCCCTCCCCCTGCCTCCTCACTATGTAGCCTTGGCTGGCCTGGAACTCCCTTTGTAGATCTAGCCGGCCTCAAACTCACAAAAATTCCACCTGCCTTTGCCTTACAAGTGCTTGGATTAAAGATGAGTGCCATCACACTGGGCTCCAGACTAAAGTTCTAAAGATAGACTTCAGCCAGAATGAACCAGGTGAGGAAGATCTGGGCAACTAGAGACTCAAGGTGGCCAGTGGGAGCATCTTTCTGTAATATGGCTGCAAAGGGATTGACTGGAGGGAGCTGAGGAGACAGGACGAGCACAGCCTGGGAGCCTTTGGAAGGGGAGGAAGCTGAGTCAGGAAAGACTGGCTGCAGGGGTGAGGAACGGGGAGGGGTCCTTTCTATAGAAGCTGGTGCTCAAAGGGCAAACCCCGAGACCTACTAAATGCTGACACTAGTGGGCAGGACATGGTTTCCCACTTTCCAAGGACCTAGGCGGACAAGAAATCTACATAGAACATCAACAGTGCGAAACCTCCTCTGTGAACTGCTGTGACGGAGACAAGCCGGCCTTGTCCCTAGCCTCCCTTTCTAACAAAGGGGCACTTACCGGCTCCCAGGACTTGTGTGCAGGGCTGTAAATGCTCATTGCCGTCTGGACTCTGCCTATTTAATCTGGCAATCATCTTCCCAGAAGGGTCCTTGGGGTATAAAAATCAAGAAATACAAGCTTGCTTAAGTAACAACACATTTCTAGCCACTGTATATCAACACATTCACAATCCTAGTGGGACACATCGGGGAACAGGAAGCTTTGCAATTATCTTCCGGTACGTGCTTAAAGAGGGGCCTCAAGACTCCCAGAAACAGTGGGAAATTCCAGTAGTCAAGGAGAGAATGCAGCAGTGGTCAGGAACCCACGGGTCAAGCTGGGATCTATATTACTGTAATGTCTACGGACTTGCGACCGCTGAGGTCCTTGCTGGGTGGAGCCACTGAGCACTGTCAAATGGTCACTCCCCCGAGGAGGCCACTCTACTTTCTAAGGCCTGTGCTCACCAGGCTCCACTAAGAAGGCACCACATGCTTACGAGTAAACTACCAGCACTCGACATAGAAGGCTGCTTACGTGATTTAGAAGCCAGCATGGTGAGTGATGTTCTTTCAGGTGCCTAGCTCTATGGGCTCAGGGAACCTGAGGTGGCCAAAATCAGCATCAAACTAAGTCACTTCTACCTCCAAGGACTTCACTGCAAACTAAGACCTCAAAGTTTTCAGCTTAAATTTTATGGCTTCCAGTGTCTGAAGGGCAGAACTTCTGACACTCAGGGAAGCAGCCAGTCCTCAGCACCCCCTACAGCTTGTTTGGTACCTACAAAGAGAGCCCCGGACAAACCAGGGCAGGGCAATGGTGGGTCAGTCCATCCTAACTTCCTGCCTCCCAATCCTCAGCAGGGCAATCTTGGAACCAGCATAAACACCTGGTCTTGGGGAGAGATCTCCAATAATAATAAACCCCAGTAACACCGTGGAGGTCTCCAGTTGTAACTACAGACTGTGCACGCTCACTTTCTTAGTCCTAAGAAAAGCTCTAGCAATTCTAGACCCCAGGCAGAGGGTCTGCTACATTTTAAACAAAAACCTTAAATAAGGGCTGGAGAGATTGCTCAGAGGTTAAGAGCACTGACTGCTCTTCCAGAGGTCCTGAGTTCAATTCCCAGCAACCACATGGTGGCTCACAACCACCTGTAATGAGATCTGGCGCCCTCTTCTGTATACATAATAAATAAATAAATCTTTAAAAAAAAAACAACCCTTAAATAATTAATTTCTGCTACCAGGATTGGCATGTGAGCACCACTGACAGGTGTGCCACTGTGCGTGTGATGTAAAGACAGCACGACCTGTGGCCCTGATGACGATGACGGATGGGGCCAGGACAGGCTGCTCCGAGGACCATGCAACGGGCTTCATAAATCAAGTCATGGAATATAGCAGACGTGTTCACTTCCACCCCCCTGGTGGCTTCCCTTACAACAGAGCTAAGTAACAACAGCCAACACATGACTGGCACATCCCCGAGAACTTTCGTCTCTACAGACAAGCACGCGGACCCTGATTCACAACAGAGGAAGGCGCAAGGGCCAAATGCCTTGTAACGGATCAGCAGTTTAAAAAAAAAGGACAACTCTGGAACATGGCTGCAATCCTGGCGCTCCAGGAGGCCAAAGAGGACGGATGCGAGTCTGGGGCCGGTCTGGGCTGCGGTGTGGTTAGATTACACACTAGCTGGTCAAGACCGGGGCTCCCTTGCTGTGACCTGGAAAGGGGTGTGAGGCGCGGTCAGACAGGGTGAAACAGCAGCAGGCATTACACGGCAGGGCAGTCAGCTAAGCCAGGTGTTCTAGCCCTCCTACAGCTCCAACCACTAACCACGGAAGCTCAGTTTCAGAACTGCTGTCCACGCTGTGTAAGCTTCATCTTGATGCTGTGTCCTGGGTAACAGGTTTCCCTGGGAACCATGGCTGCCCAAGACTCAATTAGACCAGACAGCCTTATACTTATTACCAGGGCAAAGGCCACACACAGTCTCTCAGCAGGAAGGCAAACTATTGATGCCATCCAGGAAGCCAGTATCAGATCACTAGCTGTAAAGCCTTGGTACCAGGAGACCCTCCTAGAGACAGAGAAAGGCAGAAGGATGTGTGATCCTGCACTCTATCTCTTCCTCGTCTTTCTGCTTCCTGGTTTCAGAGGAGAGGGGTATTGTTTTTTTCTCAAAGGAAACGAGATTTGGTCTTTTTTTGTAAGGACAAACAAACAAAGGAGCTCCTAGATGGCCTAGTCCACAGTCTGGAGGTCCCCAAGCTGGTCCAGCATCTGCACAGTTAAGATTGCTGTGAGGCCCTATGGACCATGATAGAGAAAATGTAGCATACAAGAGCCAGGCAATGGAAAAAATGCTTCTCAGTGACTCTTCAGAGGGAAAAGGCAGGACGCTCAAAGTGTCCATTGTTTTTGGAGTCTTCTGGGTGTAAACCAGATGCTTTATGTGAATTAAGCTACGCTGTGGTTATTCCAAGCAAACGTTCCAGTATGCTTAACTTGTTATGCCTTATCTCCTCTCATAAACTTGTATGCTGTATTATGTATTAATTTATTAATCATTTAATTTGAGGAGGGTGAGGGGTGGGTCTCTACTCTTAATCTACTACTAAATCCTGCTTTGTCCTTATGTGTCAATAAGGGTATCGTAATGTTCTTTTTAAGGAAATGTAGCCCATTGCTTCCCATCTCATGAGCTACACCTTGACCTAACGTTTTTATGGTGATTCTCTTGCTTACTTTTATTCCTTTCTAAGGTTTGCTGAAGATGGCGGTATATGGGGAGTGGTCTCCCGAAGCTCTCAGCAGTGGCCTCAGGGCTCACCCACGCTGGCATTCTGCCACACCAACGCACCACAGCAAAGCAGTAAGGCAGTCAACTTGACGGTATTTACCTGAGTTTGTTCCTTGTTTCTTTCCTTTATCAGTTTTCCTCCCCAAACTCTCAATCCTTAAAAAATGAAGACGACAATTGAAGTAACCCGAAATGTTCAGTTTCTTCTCAAAAGACATCAACAGAAAGCCAAGCTGAATGGCACAAAGGCGCACATTTAAAAGCAATCTGGGGCCAGGCAGTGGTGGTGCACGCCTTTAATCCCAGCATGTGGGAGGCAGAACCAAGCGGATCTCTGTGAGTTTGAGGCCAGCCTGGTCTACAGAGTGAGTTCCAGGACAGGCACCAAAACTACACAGAGAAACCCTGTCTCGAAAAACAGACAAACAATAAGCAATCTGGGTTTTGACAGTGCTGGACAACTTCACTAATGGCAATCTCTCCTACTCAGAAGGCAGAAGCTTACCCAATTTCACCACTAACCTGAAGGGCCGAAGACAGCTCATATTCCATACTGCTCTTAAGATGAATATTTACTGGGGAGGGGGCGCATACATCATACATTTACAGAGCAAGCTTTCTTGTTTTTGGTTTTTCGAGACAGGGTTTCTCTGTGTAGCGCTGGCTGTCTGCTCAGGAACTTGCCCTGTAGACTAGGCTGGCCTTGAACTGAGTGCTGGAATTAAAGGTGTGGGCCACTACCACCTGCCTAGAGCAAGCATTTTTAGAGGGCAATTTTTGCACCTCCTCCTGGGAGTCAGTGCTTTCCTAGGGCAATCTAGCAGTATAATACAGAGAAGCCCACGTACAGAGAGCTCTGGAGTTCAAGTGGACCAGCCCTGTCACTGACTAGCAGAATGCAATATACTCAGTTCTTCTAAATCTCCCAGGAAAACACAGGTTTCTTAGAAAGAATGGTGGGTTTTGAGATGGTTGTATTATAACAGAAGCAGAAAAAATTTACACAGCACCCTCTATGTGCCAGATTTTACCAAGGAGACATCGTTTAGTACCCACAACCCATCTGCATGTAACTCCCACACCCTCCAAGAAGCCCATGGGACAGAGACTTGCCATACTCACTGAAGAGGCAGGCATGCAAAAGGAAGAGGAAGTTCAGATGACTGCTAGCCCAGGCTCTCCGCTCAGAGCGGGCGTGTGAATTCTGGGAGGTGCTGACCACTGTACAACACAACCTTTCCAGAACACATCGATGCTTAAGTATATGTACTCAAGAGTCAAAGCAAGGCTCTGCTGCTGCTCTGGCTGAGTGGCCCCCTCTGTGGGAATCTACATTTAACTACAATGGTTTCTAAAAAGGGCTTTCACTGCAGGCTTGAAACTGAACTCTACAAAACTCAGACATGCAGGCACAGATGAACCGTCAGGCAAATGATCCCGTCCCTGCTGCCTCTACCACAATCGCTGTCTTTAATCGGAAGTTCATACTGCATAGGGAGGGTCAGGAGCAGCTTAGGAAAGGCCATGCCAAAAACTCTCTCAGAATAAGTAGCAAGATGAGGGACTCATGGCATGAATCTAAGCTATGACTGCTAGGACACAGGGCTATTAACTAACAACAGCAGCCCTAGGAGTCTGTGTGCTGGCCAGTTCCCAGGGAGGGCCATTAAAGCCAACCGACCATGGTCTCAGACTCTGCAGATACTTCACTGTTTTTCATATAACTGACATCAGGTTTTCACCGACAAAATGAGTGTTATTCAAGATAGATGGACTGTCCAAAACAGATGGGGCCGCGTTACACAGCACAGTCCATGAGAGCCGAGCAGTCCTGGGTGCTGTTCCAATGGCCTGACCGGCACTCCGGTGACTCTTAATACACCCATATGCAGTACCCATAGTTGTCAATAAATATCCTTTTCATTTTACAGAGACGCTGTACTGCTAGGCAATGAGCTCGGGCTTCCGCGCCAGGCATTTAAAAAAAAAAAATCAGGCTGCATGTGTGTCTCAGGCACTCCCTTTAGAGAAGCGACTTGGAAACCAGCAACTGACGGTTGCGAGGTCCCTATGAGTGAGGGGAACAAGTGCTGCATTGCAAATTCTAGACCCCACTATTTCAGCACACCGCCAAGAGGAGGAGGGTTCCGCACCTTGAGGCGTCTCGTAGGTCAGCGTGGCCATCTGCACCAGCGGGTCGTCCTCAAAGGGCTGGTTGTACTGCGGGGAAGGGGAGCCGGTCAGACCCCAGGGCGCTGGGTCCCCTCCCGCCTCGCCCTTCCCTCCTCCCGCGGCCCGCCCAGCCCACCTTCGCTATCAGCCGCTGCATGAGCGTCTGGAAACGGCTCCGGCTCTCCTTGAGCTCCTGCAGTAGCCGGAGATCCGACAAACCCTCAGCATCCATGGCGCAGGCCGCTCACCTCCCGGACTCTCCGCCGTTAAAGCCCACGCACAGATCAAATGTGCCGCCCCCCGCGCTGATAGGGCCTTTCAAAAGTATTTACGCAACCGTCCCGCCCGAGTTTCCGGCCGCCTCTCCCAGGGAGCGCTTCCGGCGGAGACGAAGGAGGGAGGGCAGCCCGAGCGGGCGGAACATGCGCACCGCTTCCCCACGGTGCACTGCCGCGCCCCCTAGAGGCGTCTGGGCGAGTTGCCCGGGTGTCCCCGCTGGGTGCCGGAGGCGGTCCTGGTCCTTGAGTCTGGAGAAGCTTCCACTTCCCAGCTTGGGAGGGCTGAGGAAGAGAGAGACAGCGCCAACTGTCCTGAAAGGAGTCAGGAAAGCCAATGTTCATAAATTCCAACCAAATATAAAGGTGCTGACCGATATTATAAATGTGACAAAATCTGTGGTTTTTGTCAGAGTTTTAATCCGCTCCCTCTCCAGTTTCTGATTATATGCTGTTTCTTGACTGACATCAGTATTGTTCCTTGAGGGGGTAAAAAACAAACAAACAAACAAAAAAAAAAACAAAAAGAAAAAACATCCGTTTTATGAGGGCATTTACTTCGATTGATATTTAAAATTTTTTCCAGATAAGTTTTTTGGATTTTGTCTTCTTGCAGGGCAGAGGGATTGAATTCCAGTCTGGGATGGTTTCACTCTGGCTTCGGAACAGCTGCATTTGTGTGTCAGCACGCATGTTTGCATTCTGTCCTTCTCACCCCATATTCTAATGAGCACAGGGACAGTCTTTGACAAAACTGAAAAACAAGGACCAAATAATTTGTGCCAACATCAAACTTCCTAATTATTCTTCACTTCGATAGTCTACAATTTGCCTGATATTCTATTTTTCTTCAATTAAATAATTTCTCTTTTCTTTTTATATTTGTAAAAATATGGTCTCCCTTGGCTTGTAGTAGCTGTAAATCCTAGTGTTCATCCGTAGTACCTTGGATACTTCATTTTGAATGTTTTCAGATTTTCTTGGATTGTGGGGTTGGGTTAGGGCAGGAGGCAGTACTGGGGATTGAACCCAGGACCTCACTCATGTTAGTCAAGTGTTTTACCACTGAATCTACATCCCAGCTCCTCTTTCATTATGTTTTTTTTACAGTGTGCAAACGTAGGCATTTATATTATTTATACATACAAGTGCTTGCTGTCACACAATTAATTATATTTTACTCTTTCATATTGTTAGGATATTTTGCTCACTTATAAACTATCTTGTATATTTGGTTTACTTAGAGATCATACTCTCTGAAATAATTGTGTTATTCACAGTGATTTCAATGGATAAAGAGATCAGGAAAGCCATTGTAAGAATTATGCTAAAGGCAGAGAATATAAAGGTAACGAGGACTATGGGGGTCCAGCCCCTCGATAGTCCC